CTCTAATTTCTCCCAATGAAATGGAATCTTCTTCTGCTTTAATACCTCAGTCATAAATAAATAAATAAATAAATAAATAAATAAATGAATGAATGAATGTAAACTTTTCTTTTATGTAAAATTCTGATAGGAATTTATTTGAAGATGATTATATTTGCATTATCAACTTTCAATCTTAAATTGAAATGCTGTTGCAAAACGGTCTCTTGCCCTCTTCCTTACAAAATGCACTAAGGCATCTCGTAGAACATGTCTTATTGTGGCAAAATGTGAATTAATCCAATACACCTTGTCAGTCTCCTCTTCAGTGTCATCCTCTTCCCAGCCTAAAAAATCTGACATTGCCTGAACCACCTTTCTCCTACTGTCTTCATCTGGAACTTCTGGAATGGCTCTAAATCTCAAACAAAATTCTTTCTCTCTAAGTTCCAAAAGAGCCAAATTAACCATTCCTCTTTCAAATTCTATATCTCAGATTCTTGATTTATTGCCTAAAATTTCCATTCTATCATTAATTTGTTTTATTTCTCCAGAAATTTGTTTCATATCTCCAGACATTTGTTTTACAGAGTTATCCGTCTTATCCAATCTTTTTTCAAGGGTCATAAATTTAGCTTCCAATGACTGAGCCAGTTTAAATCTTAATTCATCAAACATCGGTTTAAGTAAACGGAAAGAAATTGCCTTATTTTCTTTCTCTTTATCTTCCTTCTGTAACAGCTGTTCCGAAGACCCTCATCTAACTTCCAATCTCACTCTACGTGATGTCATTGTAAAATAATAAAAAAGTAAAAGTACAAAAGTAAAAATACAAAGCAGAGAAAAAAGCAAACACTTCACTCCCTCTGGTGGCTTTAAAGCTTTAATTGCAGGCAGACGTCTCTGCTAAAAATAGGCTGTCAGATTACTGTGTTCTTCTGATATATGATCCCAGCCAATTATCGAGTCAATTAAAGTAAAACAAAAAACATTCCCATAGAAGAACAGAGTCCCATTAAAAGTTTTAATTTTAACAGTGCAGATTCATAAAAGATTAAACTTTTACAAATTTAAAAATAAATCTTCCCTTTTCTCCATTGTTAACTTTCTTATATCACTTTAATTATCCCGCTTTTTGTGAAGTTTAAAATACTTTAATTACTTTAAGTTCTCAGATCTTCCCACAGTTATATAGTCCCCCCAAAATGAGAAAAACATCAAGAGAAATCCTTATCTGATGTAAAAGAAATTCTCGCTTAAACTGAAGAATAATTAAAATCCAAAAGTGCTGTAGAAATGGTGGTTGGCCAGTTCCAGTGTCCACATACAGGCTACATCTCAGCCCTGAACAATGATGTATTCCTTGCTCCCCGGCCACTCCACTCATAAGCCGCTTGCAAAAACTTCCATTTTTGCCATTTACTCATGAGGAATGGCCATCTGGAGATCGGATAGGCTGATTTCAAGCTTCCTCCTTTGTCCAGAGGAAGTTAAAGTGTCCTGGATGCCCGCGGGGCACTGAACAGCTGAGATGCCATCTCTGGAGTCTCAAAGACAATCAATCCACTGTGCCCTCCACCGGAAATCTCCATTCTTCTCCTAATTAGAAGTGGGGTTGAGACTGCAGTTTTTTACTTTCTTATGAGGAATTGGCCATTTTTAACTTAATGGGATTTTGCTTCAGTATTTGAAACGTTGTCTAGCAACAATGACTGAATTCATAGCTCTAAATTTAATTATTATCAGCCTCTTTTCTTCCCCATAATTTTATCCCGTTAAGTGTTATAAGTTATAAAAGCCTTAATCAGATATTCCTGATTAAGAGTCAAGATTTGAATGTATGTCTGTTAAGCTTAAAACTACCCAAATATCTGTTTTATAGGCATTGAGATTTTACTACAATGTAGGTATTATCTGCAAAGAACTTTAAGTATAATTAATTTTTTATTGATTGTTCAATACTTTCTCTTCACATGAATCAGGATGGAAAGTGAGAGGCCATACAGAACGCTCTTTCCCAAGTTAGGCACTTTTTACTCAGTGGACTTAAATTCCCAGAATTCTTAGCAATGGCTACTTTGGCAGTGGAATTCTGGGAACTGAAGCCCACACAGGTGGAGATTTCCAGCTAGTAAAGGCAGAATATTTTTGGTTCAGTCCCTGGCATTTCTGGGTAGGGCTAGAAAAGTTTCCTTTGAAAGCCTCAGGAGTCAATACTGGATCAGCCAGAATTGTCGCCAAATGTAAAGAGGGCAGGGCTCCTGTATTCCCAGAACAAACTGTTCTTGCTAAAATGATCTCTTCTACATACCTAATAAAAGGCAGAAGAGTTTTGTCCTACTTTGCATGTGTTCACCTATACTGTATCAACATGTCACCCTCTTAATTACTTTGCTAAAAAATATGCAGGGCTGAATGTTGCATAGAGACAGAGCATTTCAGATTGGCTATAAAAGGATATCCCATATTAATGCCATTCATATTGGCATGTCTGCAAAACACATAAGGTTGATTATTGTCCAAAATAAGGACTGGCAGTCTACATTATACCCTATAAATTCAATTTTTTTTAAAAAAATCTGCGCTCAGTCGTTACCGACTCTGCAGTGACTGCTTGGACGAGTCCTTGCAGTTTTCAAGGCAAGGTTTTTCGGAAGTGGTTTGCCAGACCCTCCTTCCTACTATTCATATTAATGCTGTTGGTTTTCTAGTGTTTGATCTGTATGATGGCACAGTCTGCTAGTTTTTGCATTGCACTCACAACAATAGAGCGAAGCTATCAGTGCATGATATGATGGAGTATATGTGGGTGTATGTCTATTAGCCAGCTTGTCACTCCGGCTGGCAAAAGATCACCCTGCTGGCTTCCATTCCTAAGGATGGAGTCTAGAATTTAGGTCCCCCCACTTCTAGTACAGCACCTTAACCACTACACCACATTGCCTCTCATATCTTCATATCACTGGAGATCTTAACACTGTTTCCTAGTTTTCACACAAGGAAAAATAAATCTTAATCCTATTCAATGGCCCTTGGCCATGCCACCATGCTGAAAATAGGATCTGAAGGAGGCATGCAGAAGGAGATTAGAAAGGTCTTTGATTTTTAGCTCGTCTGGGAATGTATAGTCCTGCCTATTTTGCCTGGGATATTAAGAGCATGATAGTTAAATAGGGAGAAATGCAACGTATACTTTCCTAGAATAGACTTGCAGTGAGGTTAGAAGAACCTCTAACCTCTCACATATGTGTGAAGCCATTAAAAGGGCAGCCTGTACTTTAAGTAAAGAATAACTTAATTTTGCCATCGTCCCATTTAAGTACCCTTAAGTCATTCACACAAATATCATAGCTTAAATACTCCACACACACAGTAAAATTAGGGCTGTGCATGTTTTGAAAATAAGTTAGAAGTGCTTCAGACCTCATATAAGCACAGCATCTCTCTATTCATTCAGTCAGCCCGACTTTGTTCAGGCTTCTCTGATGTTTGAGGGAAAAAATGTGGCACCTTTAATGAATCCATTGCTTTAAGCAGCCTTATCTTTTGTAAGGATCGTGCCCTAATCTGAAAAAGGATGAGTGCTTTAAGAAATAACGGAGAGGTGCTGTGCTTGCTCGAGATCTGTAGCACTTCTTTCAAACCGTGTTTCACATGAGTACAGTCCCATTAAGGATTTTGGAAAAAAAAAATTTGAAGTCAGAGATTTGGATGAGGTGTAGTTAATGGAGCTTACAGCACCATTCCTGAAGAAATTAAACTTTACCACTTACTATCTATGAAATGGTAGGATTGGCACTAGATCAAGTACGCTAAAAGGGAATGCTTGATTTTTTAAAAAAGCTAAATACAGTGGGGAAATACCTCTAGCAGATTGGGGACTATCTTGATTTTCAGAGGAAAAGATGACGGAAAACAGCACATTTAAAAATTAAAATTGCTCTTTATTTGTCATGCAAACTTGCATAGGTTCATAGGCATCAGAATCAAGCGTTACAATTCATAAAATAGCAGCAGCAGAAACAATCACCTTTTCCAACTTTGCTTTCGCTTTAAAGAAAGGCAGCCAAGAGGTTTTGCAGCAAAGAGAGAAAGAATGCCAATGAGAACTGCAACTGGATGTGGGAAGGGAACAGATCTTATCATTTGTGTCTCAAAGCTAATTTCCTGTAGAAGAGTGCATGGTTAAAATACTGTAGCTTTATATTGTCTCCATCTGAAAATCCAAAAATATGCTCAAAAAACAGAAAAGAGTTCAGAAATTGTGCTTGGAATGAGACAAGTCCATGAAGTTTGCCAGCCTAGAAACCCCCATTGTATCTACTTTATACCAATGCTATAGCATTGTATCGAAGAAACCAAGAAGGAGCTTAAAATTACTGGTTTTCTGCATGTTTTTCCTCTAAAACCAATTTATTTTGCACATGTCCAGGAGTACAGGAACTGGCAAACTGGAATGTCTCTTGCACACAATAAGGATATTGATGCAGTTGAATATGGTTAGGTTGCAGAAACTGATTTTGTTAGAAAAATGTTCAGCACAATATTTGTCCTCCATTAGGTGTCTAATATTCATAGAATGGCTGATGCTGCAATCGTAGAATTAACGTTCAAACAAATGGCATAGACATTTTTTTCTATATATATTCACAGCCCTCCCATTGATCTACACAGACTCTCTTGTTCTGAGACCCTTCTTGAAACGATTATACAAATGGTTCACTTAATGTGGTTGCATTTCCTTCTGTAAACCAACCTCTTGTCTTCCTGCTATAGCAGTTCTAGGTGGAGAAACTGTTTCAGCCATGACAGATCAGGTTCCAGTAGTGGAACAGATCAAGTGTGCTGGATTTGGGTGCAAATGTCCAGATTAATGTTAGACCTAGATCTTTATGGAAAAGGTGACCGTGTCAGAGAGGAAAAGCGTTTTTTTTTTTCCTTTGCATTATTTACACAATGGGGTTGATTAGCTTCTACTCGCATCTGGTCGTACAAATTGTCATTCAGGAGGAGGCCCAACTTTAATAGGCAGTTTTCCTGCTTGTACTGGTCTTTGATACAATTTTCACACTGGAACTTCCTCCTCCACCTGAGGAAAGGCGACCTCCTCCAGAACCGTAACTACTCCCACCTCCAGAGCTGATCATGGAGCCAAACCCACTTCGTGTATGTCTATTAGCCAGCTTGTCACTCCGGCTGGCAAAA